TTAAAATTATAAGAGCTTAAATGAAAATTCCCAAAAATATTATTGTTGAAAAAAATAGTTTTGATGGAGAATTTATAAGAAATTTGAAATTCAAGTATTTGTGAAATTCTTTGAAATAGTAGAATTTCAAATTCTCTCTAAAAAGTAAAAATTTGAAATTCTTCATATTTTTTTCTTATTTCACTTATATATTTTTATCTTATCTCTTATCTCTTCATGTTTTTAATTATTGAATATTCAAAAATATTTTTAAAATTATTAAATATTATCTAATATTAATTTTTTAAATTATTAAATATTTAAAAATTAGCTAATATGTATTTTTATAACATTTAATTTAAAAATTTCAACATAGAAATATATTTTTAAAATCAATTTTACTATGGTAGAATCAAATTATCATATCCAACCCAATAATTTAAAATTTGAGAAATTTGAATTAACTTATCCAAACAAAATATTTTAAAAATGATAGAAGTTGAAATCAAAATAATTCAAATATTAAAAATTTAAAATTCTTTGAATTTGTAAAATTTCTCATCCAAACACACCCTAAAAGTTTAGTTGTTTACTGTCATTTTGTGTATGCCAAAGTTAACAAAAAAAACGTCAAAAGGTATATAAGATTTTCAGAAAACTTGAAATTCATAAGTTTATTTCTTAAAGTTTTAGATAGAGGTTTTAGACAAATGGACTTTAGAACTAAATGATACCTTCTCTTATAGATTCATAGGAACATCCTGGTCCTTCCCTAGACCCGTGTTGCCCAAGTAAAAATTCAAAGCCAAAGAGTTGAGAATCAAAGAGAGAAGTCATCAAACGAGAGTTCAAAGTTTCTTAGATTCCTTATCTCTTTCTTTGAATTATGGAGAATTTGAGGTAAGGGAAGCTAGTAGATTAATCTTATTTGTGTTGTATTTGTTGGTTACTACATTGATTTACCCATTGGTGGTTGTGGTGTTGAATTAAGGTTTGATAACCTTGGTGTTTCAGGTTTTATGTGGTTTATGATGGTTTTCAAGAAGAATTGGTACTCTTGAGTCTCAAATTGGTTGCATGAGGTACTTTCTTTGTGTTTAAGTTGTATGATATATGTACATGATGATTTCAAGTTTTATGTTGAGATTGTAGAGTAGATGGTTGGATTTTGATGTGAGAAGTTAGTTTTCCATGGATAAAAACCATGTTCTCGCCCAACAAGATGTTATGGCACGCAACACTCCTTTATAAGTGAAGAACATCTACCTAGAATTGCATTCACATTTAGCAACATGATTTTTGTCACAATGAGAATATGACTATAAGGTAGGTTAGGTTTTTCATTGGTTTGCTCGACAAGGCACAATGCACCCAACGAGAAAACCTATAAGGGGGTCTACTTTCCCAACGAGCAAAAGTTTTCCCAACAAGGAAAGTCACAGTGTTTTTTTCGTTGATTAAGAGTAGCGTCACCCAATGAGGAGCTATAGAGAGCTCAAGTTACCCAACGAGAATACCCTTACCCGACGAGGACTCTATTTTGAATCTTACTCACATTTTGAGCTTTTATCTTATATGAGATGTGGTACATCATTTAATTGTGAATCTGTGATGTATTTATGTCGTTTATGATGAAAGACCATGGTGTAGCATATTATGAAGTATGTTAAGTTGAATTTTATTGATTTAGATAATTTTCCAAGTGTTGTATATGTTGAGTTAAATAAGTAAAGATACAATGTTGAGCTTAACTGTGTTGAGGTGATGCATGATGTATGTTGTTGAACTGTGTGTTAGATTAGGACTAGAAAAGAGTGCTTTGTTTTAAAAAAAAGATGAAATGTTCCATTGTGTGGATAGGAGCCCTAAAGTTGAAAATCCTTATTGAGTCAGTTATCTCTTGAAGTGGAATGTTGTGTCTCATTTAGGTAGGTTTTTAGTTGATATAGTATAGGGACAAGATTAAGTCATACTGCTATTGAATTGACCAATCTAAGTAAGGTATAAAGTCAAATGGTAAAATCTTTAATTGATTGTTGGAAAGGTATGTGGTACCAAAAAGATAGTTATCAGACTTAATTCCACATGTGACTTGGTTAACGTATATCAATACCATGACAGACCCATAATCAAGCTATTACTAAACCAAACCATAGTATTGAGCTTTTCTAGTTTAAGTGACGAAATATGAGAAATCATTATTGGTTTATTATTGGATTGATATCCAAAATTGTGTTGTATGAACTAAATATTATGGGATGGTTGTTGATTCAGTAAGGTCAAAACACTTAAACTACTAATTTGTATTATAAGAGATCTTTTAGTTGAGAATGTGTGACAACACATCGACTTGCTAAGTTGTTGTGTTGTTATTACTGAGTTGCTAAGTTAAGTTGTAAAATTGTTGATTTTATAACTGTTATGAAGTTTATTGTTGAACTATGGTAATGAAGTTGCTTATATAGATAGCTTATTGATTTATATATTATATGTTGTTTCTCTTTATATTACTTTACTCTTACTTTATCATATATTGGACTACGATGGTCATATTTGTTATGGAAATGGTTAGGATTAGACTAGAGGACGGTCACGATGTTTTGACCATGTAAAAGATGACAATATTTTGGTGAAAATTGTTCTGATATAGCTAGTTAATTGTTTGACTGACAACTTAAGATTTTTGTTATTTTCTAATTTTGGAATTTGTATGAGTGTACAAGACTTCGTTGTAATCTTATTTTCCGAGAGATTTTATGTTTTCAAGCTATTATAAGCAAAGACTATTTTAGTTTTTCTGCTCATATATATATATATATATATATATATATATATATATTATTGTATGAATATTTAAATATTATTTGATGTTTATATTTTTTCATTGCATATTATTGTGTTGTAGTAAGTATAGTAATTTGTTGAACTGTTATATTTAAGGTTTAACTATGAACTTTCAATATACACGTGAATCTTAAGTTAATTATCTTACTTTTTTCTATTGTAATGTATGTTATAATATACGATTTGTTATATTGTTACATATAATATATTTTTTTATTAAAATTATATTTTTATTAAATTCTGGTTTTATTTCTTTGTCATTGTTCGAAACGACTAAAGTTAAGATTAAAAAACCTAAAAGAACTTTCTTTCAACAAAAAAATGAGAATTGTTAAATTAATCGATTAACTATTATTTTAAGTGACGAAATATGAGAAATCATTATTGAATTGATATTCAAAATTGTGTTGTATGACCTAAATATTATGGGATGGTTGTTGATTCAGTAAGGTCAAAACACTTAAACTACTAATTTGTATTATAAGAGATCATTTAGGTGAGAATGTGTGACAACGCATCGACTTGTTAAGTTGTTGTGTTGTTATTATTGAGTTGCTAAGTTAAGTTGTAAAATTGTTGATTTTATAATTGTTATGAAGTTTATTGTTGAACTATGGTAATGAAGTTGCTTATATAAATAGCTTATTGATTTATATATTATATGTTGTTTCTCTTTATACTACTTTACTCTTACTTTATCATGTATTGGACTACGATGATCATATTTGTCATGGAAATGGTTAGGATTAGACTAGAGAACGGTCGCGATGTTTTTGACCATGTAAAAAATGACAATATTTTGGTGAAAATTGTTCTGATATAGCTAGTTAATTGTTTGATTGACAACTTAAGATTTTTGTTATTTTCTAACTTTAGAATTTGTATGAATGTACAAGACTTTGTTATAATCCTTCCGAGAGATTTTATGTTTTCAAGCTATTATAAGCAAAGACTATTTTAAGTTTTCTGCTCCTATATATATATTGTTATATAAATATTTAAATACTATTTAATGTTTATGTTTTTTCATTGCATAATATTGTTTTGTAGTAAGTATAGTAATTTATTGAGCTATTATATTTAAGGTTTAACTATGAACTTCCAATATACACTTGAATCTTAAGTTAATTATCTTACTTTTTTCTATTGTAATGTATGTTATAATATACGATTTGTTATATTGTTACATATAATATATATATTTTTATTAAAATTATATTTTTATTAAATTCTTGTTTTATTTCATCGTTATTGTTTTAAGATTAAAAAATCTAAAAAGAACTTTCTGTCAACAAAAAATTGAGAATTGTTAAATTAATTAATTAACTATTATTTATAAAAAAAAAACTGCCGTAATAAAAAAACAGAAAACTGATTGTAAAATAATAATTTAACAGAAAAATAAATTGTAAAATTTATAAAAACTAGTTACCAGTATAAATTAACCATATCCCACCAAGTTAGCACAAGACATTTGTCCTCTTAACTTAAAATTGAAATTGGATTTCGGACTTTTGAACATGTAGCACAATAGGAGATATCACGTTTACTTTCGAATACAACGTGACATCTCTCAACTCTCATTGTCCTCCTTAAAAAAAACATTTGTCCTCCTTAAACAAAATTACACTTTCTTATAATAAAAAAATAACTATTAATTTTTCTGAACGGTCACATAAATATGATTATTTTAATTTAAACGACAACCAAAGTCACTGGTCATAAAGAAAAAGAAGAAGAAGAAGAAAGTCTTACATTAAATTTCGTGGAAGTCTTTGTGTGTGTGTTTAGAAAAAAAACAGTGAGTTGAACGTAATTCACATTTTTTTTCATTTTATAAATAAATTTATTTTATTATCATTGAAACGCATGTACTAAACATGTTCTTAATTGTCAAAGATGAAAGTGATGTTTGAATAATTTTTTTTATAACTATTTGTGAGAATAATTTTTTTTTTATAAACTAAAATTTTTATAAAATTTGCCATTAATTTTTTTTTTAATTTACATACAAATTAATTTTAATTTATGAAAAGTTATTTTGTTTTTATTATTATTATTTTATTTTTAAGTGCAAAATTATCTAAAATTACTTTTTATTAAAAAGAAAAGAAATTACGGTTGAAGGAAGGTAAGAAGTAAGAAGAACTAAGATGGTTGAAATGCTTAGGATTTTGATTTTGACTGTTATGGATTTGGAATGAGTAACGAGAAGATGGTAGGGTAGGGTGTAGAGTGCAGAGTGCAGAGTGCAGAGTGCAGAGGATAGGGAATCAGAACAATCGCGGTTTGTTTCCTCGTTCTGAGCTCTAATGGAAGCGCTATCCCTTCCCATAAACACTCTCACGAAATCCTCTGCTAAACACATTCCTCTCGCCGCTAATTCTAATTATGCCTCACTATCTTCCTTACAATTCAATCCTTCTTTCACAACCACACCCCACACCTTGGTATTCATTCATTCACTCTTTCCCTTCTTAATAATTAATGCCTTTGACTTTCTTTTGTGCCTTCTTTCTGATGATAACAGCGTTTTCTTTTTGCAGAGGAAGAGCCTTCTTCGAGTCCAGGCCCAGAGTGAGGATTATGAATTGAAGCAAATGAGGGACATGGCTGCTGCCAGAAAGAGATGGGAAGCTCTGGTATTTCAATTTCCCCCATTTTGTTTTCTCTTGTTTTCTAAGGAACATTCTTCACTCCGTGAAAAAGAAGAAATAAGAAAGTCAAATAAAAACTAAAATTAGCACATGCACTTAACTTTTATACAAGTTCTCTGATCTAGCTAATCCAAACTATGAAGTGTATATTTATTTTAGCTTATGTTAGAAGTTCAATTCATTTAGAGTGTGTTTGGATATAAATTAGAAACGTTTTTTAGAGCTTCTTTACTGAAAATAAAAATTATTTTTTAGTAGAGAAGCTTTCAAAATCGCTTCTAAGATTATATCCAAATAGACTCTTTATCTACTTATTTTTTTGTTGGTGTTTATGGAGAAGTTTATTCAAGGAGGACCTTTGATGCTCATGTATGATATAAGCTGAATGTCTAGACAGCCTAGTAACCAGTGTGGAGTTTAGAGTCAAATTGAATTTTCATAATTTTGTTTCCTTCCTCTAGTGCATTGAGGTATTTATTGTTTGGGGTTTCTCAATGAATGATAAAGTCCGTGTTGTTGGAAGGTGTCCTCTTTTTGTATGATTAACCCCTTTTTTTGACCATGATGTTGATTCACATGTGGATGTCCCTCAGAATTTTTTTTCACGCGGTTTGCTTGATTATTCTTGTAGATCAGAGATGGAAAAGTTAAAGTTCTTACCCCAAGGGAAGCTGGCTATGCAGTTCAGCTTTCAAGCAAGCCCCTTCTTGATGTTCGGCCCTCGAATGAACACAAAAAGGTTACCTTTTGAATGCAGCTGTTGCTTTTGTTTACCTACAATGCACACATAATTTAGTTGTTTTACCCTGTAGTAGGAGGATGAGTATAGCAATTTGACATTTTAAACATGTTATTGTTGTGGTAAGACATTATTGAAGCTAATTACATGATGGTAATTGATCTTGGTAGTTGTAAAGACAGCATCAGAAGCATGTCCCTATGAATTTAATTTTGTTTTGTAATACTAATTCCTTTCTTATTGCAAATAAGTAATCTGACACTTTTGCCTTTACTTTCACTTCATTGTTGTGACAGTTGCTTGCTCTTTTTGTGTTTTGTAGGCATGGGTGAGAGCTTCAACCTGGATTCCAATATTTGATGTTGATAATAAACTAGATTTTGGAACCATTCCCACAAAAGTCACAAATTTTGTCATGGGTATTAAAAAATCCATGCTGATTCCTTCATTACTAATTTCATTTGTTAGACAGGCTTTCTAAATTTATAAAATAAATTGGTAGGTTTTATTAGAAATCTACTACATATGACTTGATGTTGTGTTGAATAGGAGGTTGGTGGAGTGGCATGCCTACACTGTCTTATGACAGGTATCATAAACTATCGTTTCCTCTTCTGATTTATTTTCTGTGTACATGAATTTTATAATTCATATCTTTCCTCTCTTCAACAGCCAGTTCTTAGCCAAAGTTGAGGAGAAGTTCCCCAAAGATTCTGAATTAATTGTTGCATGCCAGAAGGGGTTGAGGTGAGATTTATACATTCAATTGATTGATTGCACATGCACACTCAATTGAGTTGTTTCTTTATCTGATTTTCTGCTTACTTAAAATATATTTGGTACTTCCTCTGCCATGTTAAATCCTATTTCAGTTTTTCCATGGTGGATGAAAGAAATTATCTGATAATTTTGTTAATGTCAAATGAACAACATAGTTTTGTGTAGTTTTTTGAACCTCACTTTCTGGCTAGATCACTTGCTGCTTGTGAACTACTGTATAATGCTGGCTATAAAAATCTGTTTTGGGTTCAAGGAGGATTTGAAGCTGCTGAAGAAGAGGCAGGTTTTCCAATTTCAATTTTCTGGAATTTCTATTCTGATTTACTTGATCAAATGTGTGTAAAGAAAATTGGCTTATCTGGTGAGCTCATTCCTTTTTGGCCATTATTTACTGTGATGCAGGATCTCATTGTGGAGGGCCCAGTGCCTCTCAAGTTTGCTGGAATTGGTGGCGTTTCAGAATTCCTTGGGTGATTATTTTATCTAAACTTTTTCTGTCCTAATGCATGCTATATAATATTGTCGATGAAGTCTATCTGGCCTTGTCAAATTGAAGTTATCTCTATTGGATAAAATAAGTTATTTTATAATCTATACTGTTTACAATGTTTTTACAATGAATTCATGCCACCTTAGAATGTTTTACTTTGTAATACTTCTTACACATTTATGATTGGTTGGAAACGCTAGTACAAAATCTTTGTTCAAAATCACCTTATCACAGTTTTCGGTATGACTTGGACAAAGTTACATAATAGGTGATACATATCGAAGATCCATGGTATTTTTTTTTTTTTAATTTCAAAGAAAAGAAATTTTATGTTATTTACATATTGATAAATTTTCTGGTGATTCCTTTTAGTAGTAATCTCACTTAATTACTATGATTTTTGGAATTGATTTATTTTCTTTTGGATATATTAAGTGTATAGGTATCGGTTTATATCTCATCATGCCAAAAGATAAAATCACCTACTAATTTACTAATCAGTTTACAAATTGGGTGTCATTATATGTGTAATGTCAAAGATAACACAATGGAGTTGAATTTTGTTTCCAAAAATCTTTTTCGAACACAATGAAAACAGGCAATGTATAAACTTTGCAAAGGCTGAATATCACTGTAAGATGAAACTAGCATATTGTCTGACAAATGATAATCAGATCTTATAAAAAGCTTTAATCTAAATACTGAAAAGTCAATAAAATTTATTAGAGTTTATAAAATTGTGGGTCCCAAGTTTTATTTAATGAACCTTTCTCTTGGTTTTGTAGTTTTTAATAAACTTGAACTAATAATAGTGTTAGAAAAAATGTGTTAGAGAGTGTTTGACAATGTTTGCTGGCAATAGTAACAGAAAATTGTATAGCCTAAGGTTGTGCATGGTTCATATTCTATGGGTGGGCAAATGCTTTGGGCTTGAGCTGCCTGCCTGTTGGGTTACAACTAAGTGTGTTGGGGTGATATTGTAGAATATGATTTATGCATTAAGAACTTTAAATTCAACGGTTGGATCGTTAAAATTTTATGTAAAATATGAATTATTGAACAAAGTAAGTCTTGATAGATTTATTCTTACTTCTAGAGTAAATGGATCCTATATATATATATATATATATATATATATATATAACCTAATTTCCTGGTTGCATCACAAAATAAGAATTTTAACATCCAGAGAATACTATACAGATTTATGATCCATTCTCTAGTTGATGCCAACTTCTATATAGTGGAATGTTTATTGCTTGTTGGACATAATTAATGACATGGACATAATTTCTTGATCATTTTATATCATTATTGAGTACAATTTGCAGCCTTCTTATGTGATTTTATTGTTCTAAAAATTTAGGATATGATTGCAAATTTCTGACTTCATAATTATTTCCAGTTTTACTGAGCAACAAAGAGCAGCTGCAGCCAAGGAAGGTTGGGGATATAGATTAGTGTTTTCTGCACGCCTGGTAATTTATCTGTTGTAGACCTTCAATTGTAAATCTAATTTCTTAATCATGACATTCACAAGTTTGATATTTGTGGCATAGATTGGAGTCTTTCTTGTTGCTGATGCACTATATATTGGTGCTCAGCAAATTGGGCGCTATCTTCAGGATATCAAGACCCATTGAGGTAAGTATTTGATTGATCCTCACGGAGACAATAATGCTTGTGGATGAGCATATACAGACAGCAGGCTAAGGAACTCAATTTTGGATGCTGACCCTTAGCATAGTCTCACTGCCCATCCTTTAGTTAATATGATTTGCCAGCAGACGCTTTCCGAGATTGTCATAATTACCCCCCCCCCCGCCCCGC